CATTGCAGGGTATTGCTCTCCAGCTTCTGTCACCTCCACGTCACTAGCCAAATCTGGCCAAACTCGCCCAGAGAAGCAGTCCTGCCTTTGTGCCGTCCGCCCTTTGGGAGGGCAGTGCACAGCCAGTCCAAGTGCATCCCATAAACAGGAACAAATGTTAGGGCCCTGGGGGAAGTGTGGGCTTTCCTGTGCTGGGCTAGAGGCTGGAGTCTAGAGGCTGGTAGCTGATCCACAAAATGCCAAAACCCACCCACATCTCCCAGCCTCTCCATCAAGTTCTGCCCTTGCATGTGTTTGACTAGCCTTCAGAGTTCCTATTTCTGGATTCTGAGAATTCCGGCCAGCTCAGTAGTTGTGGCAGTGGAGACACCGATTCTTGGATCTTCCCGCTGTGCCATCTCTCAGGACACCACCCCATTTCTAGATGTGTGTTCTTCCTTTGGATGCCTTGTAAATGGACTGCTTTCTTAACTTCTTTGTTGGATTGTTCATTGCTGGTGTGAGAAACACAAGTAATTTTTGTGTCCTGCTATTGTACCCTGCAACTTTGCTGAATTCATTCATGAGCACCTGTAGTTTCTTGTGGATTCTTGGGGATTATCCATGTATAGGATCATGTCTTCTATGAACAGAGGTAGCTTCACTTCCTCCTTTCCCATTTGGATGTCTGTCATTTTCCTCTCCTTGCCTCAGTGCCCTGGCTAGACGTCCAGCACAGTGTTGAGTAGCAGCGGTGAAAGTGGACATCCTGACCTTCGGAGAAAGCTTTCAGACTGAAAGAATTTTGCTGAAGGCCTGTAATGTGCCAGGTTCTGTGGAGATGCAGAACACAAGACAGGCAAATAGTCCTGACCTCATGGGGCTTACATTCTTCAGAGGAGAGACAGGTAAGTAGGGCAGGTGAGGCAGGTGGAAGGTGGGAAGTGCTAACAGGAAAAATAAGACAGGAAGAGTGATACAGGGGAAGTGGGGGGGGGGTGCTCCATGTTTTAAACTGGATGTTCAGGGAGGTCTTACTGAGAAAGTGACATTGGAATAAACTCCTGAAGGGAGTGAAGGAGGGAGCCACAGAGAAATCTAGGGAGAGCGCATTCCATTGTGGGGAAGTTGGAGTTCCTATGGCCAGGATCCTCACTGAACTTAAACCACCTGATGATGTTACTGGCCTGTTGCTGGGCTGCTGCTTCCACACCTTTAGGCAATAAGCTATTACTGTGCTATATAGAGAGCTCGGCCCAGTGCTCTGGGCGGAGGTAGAGACGCTAGTGCTCGACCTACCACCGGAGAACAAGCCGGGTAATAAACCCTTTCACCCCAAGAACGTTTTGCTGTCAATTCCTTTGGTCACACTGAATCCACAGCGAATTTGCCCGGGGCAGAAATCCACTGGCAAGACACCATGCAGAGGGGACAGCAGTGCTTGCCTTGCCCAGTGAGGCCAGAGCAGCGGGAAGGGTGAGAGTACAGAGGGAGGGCTGCCCCTGCTGTTTCCCCAGACTCTGAGCGTGCACCACCTCGGTGTCCCTGACCTCTGCACCCTCAGCCCGGCTCGGGCCCCACACAGGAGGTATGGCCTGTGTGGGCTCCTCACACTTGGGCACATGGCTGGGCTTGGCTTTGCAGCCCCCCAGGTGAAGGTAGGCTCACTTAAAACTGTGTTTGCTAAAATTGCCGAATTAAACTACTGCATCCAGCCTCTCCCTCCTGTCCTCCCATTCAGTGGTGACCAGGGGGAAGACCTGGCCATCTGTTCATTTACATGTCTCTCTGGACCCTACGCCCTTCTCTGACACTTCCAGCGTGGGGTCTCTATCCAGCACAAGTGAGGCTCCTTCAGCAGGAATAAACTTTCCCAACATGGTCCTCTGATCCCTGTACCCACAGCCTGGCCTCTTCGGAAATATACCTGGCCCTTTTACTGAACATGCCCGCTCCTGGGGGGCCCAGGCAGGGCTCTGGCCTGGACATTAGGAGCCCCAGAGATGGAGGGACTGGCTGCAGGCCGGGTCTCCCCAAGCAGACTCTGCAGTGGGGTGGTTTGCAGAGGGTCAGGGGCCAGAGCTCAGGGCAGGTCCTGCAATCCCCACCCCGCCAGCCCTGACTGGGAAGCCTTAGGGTCCTCTCTGGGCTCCCTGCCTGGACAAGCTCTCTATCAAGTGTCCTCTGTCCTCTTGCACAAGGTCTTCAGGAGGCTGTAGGAGAACCAGCCCCTGTGCCTGTGTTGTAGGGAATGGCGTTCAAGTCAAAAAAGTCACAATTTGGTTCACACTCGCCTTCTGTCTCTTCCTCTAACGCTCCAAGCTCATCCACAGCTGCAGGCCTTTGCAGGGCCTCCCCATGGCCTAGAATGCCCTTCTCCCTCTTTCATCCTTCGGGGTTGGTGCTGACAAGTATCAAATGTCACTGTCCCTGAGGGGTAGGCCCTGACCACCTCTCCCGCTTAAGTGATCCCCCCACTCCACCGCCAGTTCAGAGCTTCCTGCTGGCTTCCTCTCTACCACTTCTTGGCTGTCATAAACATAGACTTGTTGTTTGCTTTCCAATGTCTGCCTCCCTCACCACAATGGGGGACTCCGTTGTTGTTACTCATCCCTGAACCCCAGTACCCAGAGTGCATGCCTGCATACATCTGGCACTTGGTAAGGATTTGTGAGCTTAGAACAAACTCCAAGCTCACTCCTCTGATGTCAGTACAGCTAAGTCTTTGCGCAGACCCCCACCTGCCCCTCATTCTGAGCTGAGTCAGCATCCCCCTGCAGCTGGGCTTTGCACACTCGGGGACCTGCCTAGACCCTGGAGGTGGGGTCCTAGCAGTGACAGGGAGACACTAATAATGGTGATCTCAGTGGGCTGCCGCCATGGGCAACTTACAGTGTGCTGGGCACTGCACTGAGCTCCACACCTTACAGTAGCCCCAGGGAGCAGGGATTGCTCCCACCCTCCATGTGCAGCAGCTGAGGCTCACAGAGGGACACACTTGACCAGGCGTGTCTGACTCCAGCGGCCCTGCCCTCAGCCCTCTGGCCAGGGCTGGGATCCACATGCTCTATCTGCACCTGGCCCAGACCCAGAGCTGAGCACCCTGAGCCCATCCTGGAGGGATCAGACTCTTCCTGGCTCTGACCTTAGTCCCTGCTCCTGCAGCTGGACCTAGGATGTTGGGCTTAGTGATCCTCCTGGCTTGAGCCCATGGCCAGTGCACCCCTACCCACACCGACTTCACTCACCTGCCTGGCTCAGTGCCCTTGCCCGGCCCAGTCTGCCAGTGCCCTGGGTCGGTGCACTTGGCTATGCCTGCCTGGCCTGGTTTCCTCCCAAATGCAGACCCTCAATCCATACCAGGCCACTCAGCTCAGGGAGGCTTCCCGTTTGCATGTCACCTGCAAGGGAGGTGTTACACCCAATCTTGAGGCCCTCAAGGTACCCCCTATCTAACCAATCCCCCCATACCATAGGATGAATCAGTATAGTTTATAAAGCTCTCAATTGTCCTGTGATAGTGTAATTAGATTTCACTGTTTGTGGCATGTGTGTTTAGAATTTGCTATCTGCAAACATTTCCAAGCTATCTTTTTCTGGGTAACCCCATTTAAGCCTTTATTTTTCAGTTTGCTCTGGAGCAGAGGGAGTGAGAGAGAGCATGTGAACACACATGTGCACAGTGGGGACACCTGTTGATTGTAGCACGGGTTTGGAAAGAAGCTAAATGCCCATGACCGGTGGATGGGTTAAATGAGGCATGACACACCCGCTCTGTGGGGTCACTATCCTGCTCAAAACACTGAGAGTATAAGGAACTCTGTGTATTGATAATGAGTGGTCTCCACAATATCTGGATTAATGGGAAAACCAAGGTGCGGGGAGCATGGTGCGTGTGTTTGTGTGAGACGGGACAGCTGCACCTACATGTATGTCCTTGTGCATGCTCAGAGCATGTTTGGGGAGCAAGCGTGCTGGAAGAATAGGGGATACGCTGGTGATCCTGGCCACCTCTGAGGAGGGGATACCAGGCGTCTGGGGACAGGTGGGGCTTTTCATAAGGGGGGATGCTTAACACACTTCTGAATTTTGAACCATGGTAATACTTTAACTATTCAAAAATAAAGTAAGTTAAAATCTAAGGTGGTTGAGAATGGTATTGCCCATTAAGCCCACTGCAGCCCAAAAGGCCTAAGCCATGCCTCAGCGGCCTCCCTGCATGTCATCCAGTGGAGCACCTGGCAGCATGCGTGTGGCTCCTGAAGAGACAGGATGTGTCACACAAGGGCCTGGAGCGAGCTGTCTCTTCTTTGGGCTCAGCCCAGTAGCCAGGCCACGGGGAAGCTGAGAGCCCCATCTCCAGTGTGGCCCCTTCCTCAAGGCCTGTTATGGAGTGAATTGTGTCCCTCCACAAAATTAATGCTTCTTAATATTTGAAATCCTAACTCCTAGCACCTCAGAATGTGGCCCTGTTTGGAAATAGGGTCACTGCAGATGTAGCCAAGATAAATCATGCTGGAGTAGTGTGGGCACCTGGTCCAGGTCCAGTATGATACCTATCCTTCATGAAAACGGGAAGTTTAGAACAGACACGCACACTGACAGACTGTTATGTGAAGATGAAGGCAGAAATTGGAAGATGCTTCTACAAGCCAAAGAATGCCCAAGATTGCCAGAAAACCGCTAGCAGAAAGAAGCTAGGAGAAGGGCTGGACAGATTCTCCCTTGGCACCCCAGAAGGAGCCATCTTTGCCAATGACACCTTGATCTCGGACTTCCAGCCCCAACAATTGTGAGACAGTAAATCTCTGTTGTTGAAGCCACCAGTCCATGGCGGCACTTTGTCACCACAGCCCTAGGAAATAAAACATAGGGTTTCTAGGGACTCTGGCAAACCTGTGATTTCTGCCTCATGGCCTGGTTTAGAATCACCTTAACCTTGATTAAGTCTAGAACACACTGTCCCAGGCTCCCAAGGCTGTCTTTGACTCAGGGAGCACCCATCCCAGCCCGGTACTTACTGTCAGGAGGCATGTCCTTGGAGACCATAGTAGACACAGTCTTGGACATCTGAGCAGAGGAATAGGGCTTTCTGCAAAACCTGATCTCTCCTAAAGGAGATTCCAACCTGGGGAGCAACACAGTGCTTGAGCCAGATGGTCCCCAGTCCCCGGTCCCCCCAGCCCCTGGGTGGCTGAGAACAGCTGGCGTTTACTGCGCACTCACCATATGATCAGCCCCTCCCCCTTCCCCTCGCATCCTCTCTTCCCTTTGACTTGGTTCTACTGCCCTGGTTAATCTTTCTGTTCTCAGAATATGCCACCAGTGGTCTGCCTCAGGGCCTTTGCATTTGCTTCCTCCACAGCCAAAACATGTTCTCCCACAGCCAGCCGAGGCGGGAAGGTCCTCTCTCTCAGAGTTGAGGTCAGGCGGCAGCTCTTGCGAGAAGCCTTCCCTAACAACCCTGGTCCAAAATGGTCTCTTTTTTCTCACTCCATATGACTTCACTTTATTTCTTCTCTGCAATCACCACTATATGATTTATCATTTAAAAAACCTGTTTATTGCCCATTTCCACCCAGAATGTAAGCTTCAGGAGAGAAAGGATCTTTTCTGATTTGCAGTGGACATGCTCATCAAAGCGCCATCCAGGAGCTTCTTAACCACCCACTGGTGAGCTTTAAGGAGAGATTCAGGATGGTGTCCGAAGTCACACAGCCAGGCAGTGCCATAGCTGGGATTCCAGCCCAAGATTCCCTGCCTCCAAAGTGTGCGTGCGCCCTTCCAGCCGCATTCCTGCGACAGCCCCCCGCGGAGAGGAATTGGTACCACAGAGGTGCGGGTTAGAAGGGCCCAGCCACCCAACAAAGGATGCCTGAAGCCAGAGGGACAGGGGACGGCTAGACGGCTGGGTGCGCGCTGACCCAAGCACAGTAACGAGGAAGGGGGGCTGGGGCCTTGCAAAGGGACCTGTCCAGGAGTCCGCCGGGGCCCAGCGCGCACCCCGACCCCGCGCGCACCCACCGGCCCGTCCCCGCGCTCGCTCCGAAGACTGCACCTCGGTTCCGGCTCCCGGCGCCCTGGCGTTCGCTTTCTGTCACCACGGCAACCATTCTCTGGACGCCGGGGACGTGACGTCACAAAGGCCTCGGCTGCGGGCCGCGTGTGGGTGGAGCCGGCGGGCAGCCCGTCCCGGAGGCAGAGAGGTCCTGAGTCCCGCTGCCGCGGCCCGGGTGCCGCCGGGACAGTGCCCGCCCTTATATATGGCCTGAGAACCAGGAGGTTCCCTTCGCCGTTCCCCATCCCGCGCTTCTTCTGTCTCTCTTCCGTTCTCTGATTCCTGAGATCAGCGTGCATCTCCAGATGCCTGTGGTGCAAAAACAGATCGGTCCTGGACCTCGGTTTCCAGGGTCGGTTCTTAAAGTGTGATCCAGAGGCATCAGAAATGCTGGGACCTCCTTGGAAAAGCAAACCATCTCCTGAAGCAGAAACTCGGGACTCCAGTAATCCGGGGTGTAACAAGCCCTCAGGCTAAGGCGTGAGGTCCACAGATCCAGAGGGTGAATGAGATGTACATTGAAGACACGAGCGACAAATTCTTTCAGACAAAGGGGAGGGATAAGGTGATAAAGCTAAGGGGTCCGGTACAGATCACCTGGATTTCCCAGGCACCAATCGGTGCCATCTCCCTCAAACAGAAGGAGACCCCTCCTTGAGTTCTGACCGTGGTCACCAGTCCCATGCATCTAAGGGACTTACAGATTGACAAAGGCTGCTTGGAGCTGGGACACACTCAGGGCTCTGTTATTTCGGGGACATTAAGGGGTCTCTGGGGAAGTCAAGCCGTCTGCAGGCCAGTAAATGGTGTCAGGGAGCCCAGCAGTTCCTGGCTCTGGCCAAGGCTGGTGTAGGGGGTGGGGAAGCCAGTTCCAAGGGTGGGAAGGGGCTCCTGAGGATGGAAGGAGTGCGGTTCCCTGAATCGGCCACTGGAGGACTGAATCCCAGCCAGCAGTGTCTACAGTAGGCTGTGTACAAGGGGGACAGAATTTTACTGTGTTAAGCCTTATATGTGATTTGTGCACATGTGTGCTGGGTGTATTTGTTATAGCAGCTAGTGTTCAGTACCCTGATCAGACAAGTGGCTCTCCTTCACTCCCAGGATAGAGGCCTCTTATGCTATTCACTTCAAGTCCTAAATGGTCTAGCCCCTGCCTGTCTCTGCTGCCTTCCCTCCCTACTGTCAGAGCAGCAGAACAAATTGCTGTGCACTGTGATTAGACTTCTGCAAGCCACCCGAAGCATTTTGTTAATTATTGACTGAAGTAAGAAAGTGAACAGTTTTGAAATCATTCATTTCAAACACCAGGGGTTTGTAAGCCTTTGAGGACTCTAGAGAATAGGCAGCTAAAAGAAAAGCTACTGAGCATACTGCCAATTCATTGTCATTGACAGGTAGATTTGTGAAATGTGAATTTCCTATGAACCCTTACAGAGGGATTCTGTGGACCACTGTTCCTGCGCTCGGCACAGATGAGCCCATTTCATGCAGGCCACGCTGTGAGGTAGATGCTGTCATAACCCCTGCTTTCCACATAAGGAGACCAGGTCACTGTGAGATTGAAAAAGGTGTCCAGTAGGACCAGGAAGCGCCAGAGGCAGGCTTTCTGGGCAGCGGAGCTCCATTTTTGCTTTTAACCAGACACACTCTGCCTCTCACCTGGAATTGTTTCAGACTTGTATGCACGTTTCCAAAGCAATGATACATACACTTTGAGAAAAGCTCAAGAAGCCCAGAAGTGGACTTCATAATAAAGAGCTCTGTAGTCAACATGTGCATGCTTTGGCTGTCTGTTACTTAGAAGGTGAGAAAGAAAACCATCTAGGAAATGTGGCCAGCTTTGGAACTTTTAATCTTAGCATACCAAATCTAACTAGGAACACAATTTGTGGGCTAAAAGCTCAGTTTAAAACTAAGGTGGATCAATGGAGGGATGGATAGATGGGTAGATACATGATGAAACAAGGACAGTAATGCGTTAACTGTGGGATCTAGGTGGTGGGTATATGGGTGTTCATTATGAAAGTCTTTAAATATTTTGTTTGAAATTTGAAGATCTTTGTAATAGATTGTTTGGGGGGAAAGCTGAAGATCTTCCTGAAAGTGAAATCTGTGTTTCTGATTTAATATTTCTTCCTCCTCAAAGATGTGTCAGTCAGGGTTTTGGGAACAGACAATAGAAATCAACTATAGCAAATTAAAAGAGAAAAGGGTGTGGGGGGCTCCCAAATCTGCAGGTGGACAGGGAACGAGGTAGGGAGATGGTGTGGCCAGGAGCAGAGCCCAAAACTGGCTGCCGTTGTATCTTGGTGGGGACACCGTGGTCTGGGATTTCGACCAGCTGAACCTGGGTCATCTGCCTGCACCTGATGTCTCATAGACCAGAGTCCAAGGGTCCCTGCTTCTACACTGGATGCAAGGGAGGCTAAGGAAGAGCCCTCTGGTGGGAGGTGGGGGTCCCCCAACCCAGGAAGGTGATCTTCCAGAAGGACAAGCAGCTTGAGTCTGCTCTCCGTGGCATGAGGTCTTGGGTGGCCCCGGCAACACTGAGTCTATGCCTTTGTCTCTCTCATTGCCTGCTTTGGGAATGTCCTCTATTCTGCTGGCAAAATACTCATTTCTCAAGACTCCATTCAGAGGCTGCCTCTCAGGGAAGCATCCCTGGAACAGACCTGTGTGCTGCTCCTGGAGTTCACAGCCTGCCTCCTCCAGATCCGCCCATGATGTTTCCCAGGACCCCTGCCTCTGGTGGCTGTGTAGGTCCAGTGGGTGGAAGGTCACAGGGCAGGAGACATGGGGAAGCCAGGCATCTGTCCCACCCCTCTGCTTCCTGTGTCTCCTCCTATACTTGTGGGCCCTGGGTGGCCAGACATCTGGGCCCACCAACACAAGCTGACCTTGGGGCCTCTCTTTTAGATGTAGTGCAGCTCGCAGTAAATAGACCTGGATGACACGCGACATGTCCATGAATCCCTCTTGGATGTCTGGAGCCTTACGGTGAAGCAGAAGGGAATCAGCCTGCAGCAAGCAGACATACAGCAGGGTCCTGGGGGACCTCCCACCCCGGACTGTGTAGGACCTAAGTGGTAAGATGCCGTCCCCGCCTCTTGCATCCGGATTTCCTTTTGCCTCTTCCTTCAGCCTCAAGGTTTCAGGATATGGAGAAAGACTAAACCACATCCACTCTACTCCGCAGCGAATCAGGGCCTTTCATGGGCATTACCCACCGCATGCACTGCTTCCCCTCTACCCACTGACGTGGCCATCAGCCTAGTGCAAGCTGTGGTCCGCGGTACCTCCACCTGCTGTGTGTCGGAGGAAGCTGCCAAGTCCTAGAAGTGAGTCTGAGGCACCATCCTTCTTGGGCCCCTCCCAGCCCCAGTGGCCTCACCTGACCTGGTGGCATCTGGCCTGGCATGCTTTTCATGTCATGGTCATCAGACTGTTTCCTGCTGGCTTGGATGGACAGATGATTTGACTGGTGTCTGGGGCAAAAATGGGTGACTTCTGACATCCACCTTTGACACAGTCAAGGGAACCAGTATTAGTGGGATACTAAGGAAGGTCATGCCAGGGTAAAATCGGCTTGAATCATCCGAGAAGGCATCCTGAGGGTGACATCACCGGGCACGGGTTAAAGGATGCATAAGATCTAAACAGGCAGATAGGGCCATGAGCAAGGGATTCCAGGATCAGGGGAGACTGTGAGCCCACGTTCAGGAGCACAAGTAACCTCTGAGGCTGGAGTATAGGGTGTGTGGTGGGGAAGGAGGTGGTGGCCGTGGGAAGGCAGGAGCTCGCGCTCAGGGAAAGGCCCGTAGGTGCCTGCAGGTCACTGGGGTAGAAAGTTGTTGCAGAGAAGCAACTCCCCATGGAGGGTAAGGCAGGCAAAGCCAAGATCAGATTTGGTATTTAGTTAGATTTTAGCTTCATGGAAAGGATGGGCCCAGGAGAGCTACTAGAACGCCAACCTAGAGATCATGCTGACTTAAATCAAGGTAGAGGTGTTAGGATGGAGAGAGAGAGGCCAATGTCAGCTCCACTGGGAGATGGGTGGGCAGCCTGGCTGGGGGCTGGGGGCGGCAGCTGGACTCAGGTGTTCTGAGTGGGTTTGCTAAGATGGGTATGGGTGGGGTGTGCTCGGGTATCCTTTCCAGAGAGAAGCCACCCGGGGTGCAGTGCAGCTGGCTGGCAGGCCCCTGCTGTGGCACATTTGGGAGGGAGCACAGCTTCCCACTAAAGCCATGCTTTCCCAGGCCACTTCCAGCTGATAAGGCAAAAATTCTGAGACATCCTAAAATAAAGTGACACCAGGGCTGGTGAATGGGGGCAAGAGACTGGGAAGGTCATTTGTCAATAGCCATGGGCCATAGCTTAACCAGAAACTCCACATTCTTGGATGAAGTCACTTCAAAAAGCATCTAGAAGGTCCCCAGGACCACCACATCCACCCTGAGCCTGACTGGTGCCTGACCATCATCACCAACCAATCCACATTTGCTTTGTCACAGCCAATGCCTGAGGGCTGTGGGAGCATGAGAGCCAGCCTGTGTCAGCCTCACGTGGGACTCCACGAAGCTGGGGAGCTTTGCACCTGCCAGCCAAGGGAAGACTTCCTCAGCACCACAGCGGGGGCTCTGCCCACCCAGTCTCCCTCCCTTCTCTGCCTTCACAGGATCAGACCTTCAGCGGGCATGGGCGCGAGACTCTGCCTGCCTACTCCTGCCCCCCACCGCCCTTTCTCTGAACAGGCATTTCTTCCAGTAAATCTCTTGTGCGTCTGTTTCTGTCTTGGCATCTGCTGCCTAGAGACCGCACTGGCATGGAGCGTGGGGAACGAGAATGAGGTGGGTGCCACGCAGAGCCGGCGGGACGTCAGGGAGCAGGTATGACGACCCAGGGCTGGGGTGGTGTGGAGGAACACCTGGAAGCGGGAAGAGACAGGGAAGAGGAGTTTCACAGCCTAGAGGGAAAGAAGGGGCAGAGGCCGGAAGAAAACCAGGCATGTCTGTGTGTTTGCAAGTCAAAGGAGTGGAGAGCTTA